TTTCCTACTGCAGAAAGTTGGTTTACCATTAGGTGGTGCTTTCCCCTAAAATTTGTCCTCTAACATGATCTCTCACCTATTTGTGGGTATGCCCTGGAACCACAAAATTCTTATTGGCAGAGTCCTCATGGTGAGAGGAATTAAAGAGCATTTCTAGAGAGAATGTCTAGTAGGGAAATACTATTTTTCATTCTCCTACCCCACATGGACATTATCTAATTTACAATAAGATAAATTTACTGTCACTTCTTTTTACAACCTAATTTTGATCACAATGTTGTCTCTATCCTGGCTCTAAGAATCACAGAAGACACCGAAAATTGAGAGAATATTTTTAGGCTACAAATACCAGAGTCTCTAGATCCCAAGAGTTGAACAATCCTGCTTTGACATCTCAGAGACTTAGTCACTTTGGGCATAATTCAGCTTCTCTTCAGACCTATCGGGAAAAAAAAAAAAAAGCTTATTCTGAAATCCAGGGAACTTTCAGTATTTTAGACCATCTTTGGGGTGAAATTTAAAATTAAATGTTTTTTTCAAAAACTAAGAAGTACTGATAAAGTTGAAAAGAACACAGCCAGGATTTTGGAATGCATGAACTAATTTTAAGAGCCAGGTTTGTTTCAATTCCAATCTCTCCACCTTTGTAGGGAATTTAAATTTATTCTGTTGTAAGTTCTCAAAAACAAGTAACTGCCAGCTACAACAGCAGTAGTCATTTTAGTCATTATCACAGCTTTATCCTGTGAACAATTTCTCTTTGTCATGAGGAGATGGCGTCAAATGAATAGTCTGATGGAATTGTTTTATGCTCTTGGGTTTTGGTTGAATAAAACAATGGATCTTTGCAGTTGCTATTTTTTCCCAGAATTCTCCTCTCTGAAGAACCAGAACTATCTATGACACTGATCGCATTTCTTGCTGCTGACATTTTGTTAAACATAATCCATCCTAAGGATGCTGCCTTAAGGTGCCACCCTGCACCTGGCCCTTCTGTCTCTCAGTACTCACCTTCCTGCTCCTACCAACCAACAGCTCTGCCATCTACAAGCTCCTGCTCAGCAAAGTCACCTACTTGGAGACCAACGTCATCTACTACCTGTCCCAAGACAGAAACAAGACATCCACCATAACCAAGTACCAGGCTTACAACATCTAAATTGCCCCTTCCAAAACATGACACTGGAAACTGAGCCTACCATTGACTGGTTCCCCAAGCCAAAGGCCACTGAAACTTCCCTTCTGTCTGTTCTGTGATCCTCCCTCTAAGCAAGCCTACACCCCAATTACTTCCAACCCCAAAGAAATAGTTGTGTAATCACCTTTCAGGAACCTCTCTGTTCTAAGATGCACAATGTTTATCGAGGATATGGATACGCTTTATACCCATAGCACACTCCAAGAGTTCCCTTTGAAGGGAACTTGCCCTCTTCTGCAAAATAAGCCACATCCCCAAAGACATGATCATCCAACTCAGTCGTTTGATGTAGGGAAACTCAGCGTTGGGGAAAGTGCTGAAATGCAGGAGTGCTGGTTCTACCCCAGCTCTGCCTCTAATAGAGTCCTTCCCAACTCTCAGCCTCGATTTCTCATTGGTTCCATGACAGGGTGGGACTCCACAGTCCCTCCCACCTCAAGTGTTGATTCTGTCTCCTGCAAACTGATGAAATCCGCATAACGAACAAGTAGTTACTCTGACTTAAGAGATGGAAGGGTTATGCAGAGACAAGGTGGGAAAATTCTAATGTTCCATGGACGTTTATTCCTGGGTCTGTAGATTTGGGGTTAAGACTCCAGGTTCACTGAAAATGCCAACGTGCATTAGGGAAGTAACAGGTTACAATTAAGGATCAGAAATGACTCACGATACAATTCTTCAATCAGGACAGCTTCTCAGCCATACCTGCAGGCAGGCCCCTCTCTGGCGCTTGGCCTATCGGCCCCTCAGCCTCGACCTCACCTCTGCCCTGCTCGGGCAAGTGTTACAAAACTCTTTAGCTCCACCAATAAGCACCTACAGGCACCCCACTCCACCAGTAAGCCTTGGCCCAAATGTGCTCAGCTCTCTCGCTCATGGGTCGGCAAGCCTAGCTTCGCCAAGTGCCCAAAGGCACCCTGCTCCTCCAGCAAGCCTCCTGCCCGAAGACACTCAGCTTTCTCGCTCTGTGGGATGGGAAGCCCACTGCACCATCTCCTAATTCTGCTCCCTCTGCTGCCGCCATTTCTCTGCCACCGTGTCTCACCATCTCTGATGTTACAGCTCTGGCTCCTGGGTCTAGGACGTTCTCAGCGCAGGGATCCTGGGTCCAAAGAACACACTCCACTCCTAGCTCTTCTTTCTTGGTGGTAGTGAGGTCCCCCCTTTCTGCCTCTGGGATGGCTCATTTTAAGCCTAGCAGGATGGCAAAACTGACCAATCCCCTCATTAGGGTTCCATACACCTTATCTGCATGGTTCCACTCCCACAAGCGTGCCAAATACCTTATTTGTGTTATTAGCAAGCTGTCCAATTCCCTTGGCGGGCCACAAGCACCTTATTTGCATAGTCCCACCCAGTCATTGGAAACCCTGGTGGCATAGTGGTTAAGAGCTACAGCTGCTAACTGAAAGGCTGGCAGTTCGACTCCACTAGGTGCTCCTTGGAAACCATATGGGGCAGTTCTACTCTGTCCTATAGGGTTGCTATGAGTCAGAATCAATGGAAACAGGTTTGGTGGTTTTTTTTTTTTTTTTTTTT